CCTTATTTTTGATCAAAAGCCAGGCCTTTTCTTGGGAAAAGAAACTCTGGAGCTTCTCATGAATGCTTTCCTGTCCAGTGAGACTTTCTTCATCCAACCAAGGGTTTGGGGCAGAAAATAAACCCCAAGTTGAGCCATGGCTGCAGCTCAGAGCTGGGTACCAAGGCAGGAGGTGGCACTGGGCAGCAGTGGGTGCTGCAGCGGGGGGGAGGGGTTGGGTGGATTGAGGTGAATGAGGAAAATCCTCCTGTCTGGAATATTCCAGAATTGCTGTTTGGCTTGGAAAAGGCGGCTTTAAAGCTGTGTGTGATAATGTGAGAGTGTGTGCACGTGCACTGATGTGTGTGCACAAACAGGTGAGTGTGTGTGTGACATGAGTGTGTGACACGAGTGTGTGTGTGACATGAGTGTGTGACACGAGTGTGTGTGTGACATGAGTGTGTGACACGAGTGTGTGTGTGTGACATGAGTGTGTGTGTGACATGAGTGTGTGTGTGTGACATGAGTGTGTGTGACATGAGTGTGTGTGTGACATGAGTGTGTGTGTGTGTGTGTGTGTGTGAGACACGAGTGTGTGTGTGACATGAGTGTGTGCGTGTGACATGTGTGTGACATGAGTGTGTGTGTCTGTGTCACACGTGTATGTCTGTTTCACACGAGTGTGTCAGTGTCACACGAGTGTGTCAGTGTCACACACTGTCAGTGTCACACACTGTGTCAGTGTCACACTCTGTGTCAGTGTCACACACTGTGTCAGTGTCACACACTGTCAGTGTCACACACTGTGTCAATGTCACACACTGTGTCTGTGTCACACGAGTGTGTCTGTGTCACACACTGTGTCAGTGTCACACGAGTGTGTCAGTGTCACACACTGTGTCAGTGTCACACACTGTCAGTGTCACACTCTGTGTCAGTGTCACACGAGTGTGTCAGTGTCTCACACGTGCCAGCACACGTGCCTGATGTGCTGATGGTGAGTGGAGCAGTTCCCGCTGGAGGCGGCTCTGCTGCCCCAGGGCTGCGGCGCTGGCAGAAGCAGGGAGGAGATGCCACGAGACGGCACCAAAATGAACATTGGGAGGCCCTGGTGGGGCTGGGAAGAGCCTCTGGAATATCCCTGGCTGTGGGGAAGGGCTCTGGGGGTGTCTGGGGGACCCGAACCTCCTGCCAGGGTGGTGGCACTGTGGAAATGCCATGTGCCATGTGAGGGTGGGCACTGTGGAAATGCCATGTGCCGGAGCTGGGGGTGCCACACAGTCCTGGTCCATCGCCAGGGGCATTGCTCGGACTTCACGGGAGTCTGGAAGTGTTCTGACAGGCAAAGAGGGGCAGAAGGGGGCGAGAGCCCCTCAGAGTGAGGGGTGGGAGGGAGGTGGCTCAGTCCTGACACCCACCCTGGCACGGGCCCACTCTGCGGTTCCTGGGGCAGGGCTGCTGGGAAGCAGAGAGCCGGGGGATGGATGTGGTGGGGAAGGGGCTGGGGCTGAGCCAGCTGCTGCAGCCTGGGGACCTGGGGGGCTCTGCCTTGGCATCTCAGCACTGCCCAGGACAATCCTGCCTCCTCTGGCTTGTCGTTGGTACAAAGCCCAGCTCTCTGTGCCTCAGTTTCCCTTGTAGGAAGGGTTCTGCCCATTGCTGCCCTCCGTCCCAGCTCCTGGGGTGTCCCTGCAGTGTCCCCCGGGGCCTTATCCCTGGAGAAGGGTGGGAGATGGCAGCGGGGCTGTTCACAGCCTGGCTCCGTGGGCCTCCCTGCTGCCCCAACGGGGTCAGCCTGCCTGGGCCGTCACTTCACAGGCTCTGTGTGCACCTGTGGGGGATGAGGGGTGTGAGGACACACACAGATGTCCATTTTCCACCTCTCCTGCCCGCAGTGGCTCCAGTACTCGCTGTCAAGGGGCTGACCCACCCAGGCCTGGGACTGCTTTGGGAGGGTCAGGCCCTGCTGCTCTTTTGGGACCTCTCATTAATGATGATGGATCAGTGTGCAGGGTCAGGCCAGGGCACTCCACAAGTACCCTTGTGTGCACATCTTCCCTTGCTCTTCTGTGCCTCAGTTTCCCTTGGTATCTTTTTTCCCACTGGTGTTCCTGACACCACTTTTTGCTGGTCCCTGCAAGTTGCAATGATGCCATGGGAATAATATGGTGTCACGTTTGCTTGCACCACAGAGCCACCAGGATCAGCAAGATGGGAGTGTGAGCCCATCACCTGGTAGGGTCGTAGGGTAGAGGAGGCAGATGGGGACAGGATAAAACCCTGTCCGAGCTCATGTCCCCAGTGATGGAGGTGGAGGTCTCTGCTTTGCTCTCATGTGTGGGATCCCTTCCATGAGGGTCAGCATCTGGATGCTGCTCCCTGTCTGGGACCATGGCAGCTTCTGCAGCCCCTGAGCTGGGATCACTGCCCAGATCTGAGCATTTCTTTGGGATGCCACAGCACCACAACATTGGGTGGCTGAGAGGAAAGAGGGGACAACAAAGGGGGGTGACAATGCCAGCGTGCCCCTAGCTGCTCAGACCCATCTCTGAACGTGCACCGGGGGGGGCACGCCTGGGATGGGGTGTGGGGTAAATTCTGCACCCCAAAACCACCCCCCTTTAAGGCAGTGCAGGCAGGACTGAGCTCCCCCCACCCCAGCTGTACAAGGCAGACGACCCCACCCTGGCAGGGAAAGGAGGGCACGACAGCCCCGAGGGGTGCACGAGACAGCCAGACCGCAGGCCCCGGGCAGCACGGCCCCGGGTAACACGGCCCCGGGCAGCACGGCCCCGGGCAGCACGGCCCCGGTGTGCGCTGGCCCGGCCGGTTCGGCTGTGAGGGGCCGGACCCCGCCGGGACCCCGCCGCTGAGGGGGGTGGGGGGGGGTCGGGGGGCGGCGCCGCGCGGGCGGGGGCGGGGGTGACGTCAGGCGCTGTCCGCGGTGCTGAGGGAAGATGGCGGCGCGCTAGAGCCGGGCGGCGGCCAGGGCCCCCCGCGCCCCCCGCGCCCCCCGGCACACACACCGCCGCCATGTCGCTGCTCTGCGTCGGAGGTACCGGGACACAGGGCACGGGCCGGGCGGGGGGCGCGTCCCGCAGCCCCTGTGCTCGGGGCGGAGAGGGGGGAGCGCGGGGCCGGCGGGGCCGAGGGGAGTGCGGGCACAAGGGGGGCGGAGGGGGGGGGTCCGTGGGAACGGCTCCATTCACAAGCACCGGGAGCGTGGATTTATGAATGAACCGGCGGGGGCGCGCGCGCGGCGCGGGAGCCGGCAGTGGGGGTGGGGGAGGGACGGGGGTGTGGGCGCGCCCTGCCCGCACAGGGATCCCCCCGGAACCCCCCGGAACCCCCCGGGATCCCCCCGAGCCCTGACCCTGAACCCCCGCCGGGAGGGACGGGGCTCCCTCCGCGACCCCCCTCGCCCCATGGGGACGGCAGGGGAGGGACAGGACTCCCCCCGTCACCCTCCCTGGCTCCCCCCCACCATGGGAAGGGGGCTCCCCCCGGAACAACTCCCGGGCTTCCCTCATAACCTCCCACCGCCGTGGGGAGGGAGTTGCCCCCATAACTTCCCACTGCCGAGGACGGAGGGGGCTCCCCTATAAAGCCCCCCCGGGCTCCCTCCGTAGCCCTCCCCCGTCGTGGAGAGGGAGCTCCCCCCTCGCCGCCCCCCCCAGCCGCTCCTGGCTATCTCTCTCCAGCTTTCCGCCCCCTCGGAGCCCCCTTCTTCCCACCCTGCCCCCTCCCGGCATCTCTTCCCACACCCCCCTCAAGCGCAGACCTCCATGTACTCACCCCCCAAACACCCCTGCCCGTACACCCCCACCATCGCATCTCTCCCCATATACCCCCGTACACAACCCCCCAGGACCCCACCCCTCACGCCTATCCTCAGGCACCCACTCAGCCCTCTGCATTCCCAAACACCCCCTCATCCGAACCCA